TATGGCCATGGGCGCTTATTAGAGCGGGGCGCTTATTACGTTGAATACGGTAATCCTTTTGAGCACCCCCAACTAAGACTGAAAGTTTCCTTGACAGTCCATAATTCCTTGTGTATATTACAAATTTGGGTTTTTTTTAAAATGCATGTTGAAGGCTTATGTAAATGCCAAGTTGCTATTCTCAAAAATTATTAGTTTCATTGAAGTTTGAAGTAATTTTGTTCACTCAATTTCTGACAGCAAATTTAACTTGCTGTTTATGGTTTTAACAAGTGCCCCCATTTGTTAATTTTCCAAGTGCCTTAGGGGCTTATTAAATGCGGTATTTATAAAGAAACCTCAAATTGTTAATTACAACTACTGGACAAAATTACCCTGAAACCATTCCTTCATTTAATATTCAGGATATTTTGGGTCCAAACTAACACTATGTTTTCTAGACCAGCTACAAGTCAGGGTTGATATCAGTGGAAAGAATACAAATCACTGTATTCATTTGATGTTAGGAATCCAGATTATGATTTGAAAATTCCTGATATTTTAATGGCTACTTAATTATTTGTAGCAAGATTTTCTTTTAAAATGTATAATAAAGTATGAAATAATAATAAAGTTAAAACAAAGCTACTGTCATGTACAGGATACAAATATGTGTTTTGTTTACTGATCATAACAATTAGCTATCTGTTTGAGCATTGGCAGTTTTGTGTTCAATAAATGCAGCTGTTTGCGCTCATTTTAGCCCACTGGAAAGTCTGATAGAGCCATAATTCACTGTACGTAGTAGCATCCTTTGGGCACTCCAGTGACCTGTGATTGTGGGTTCAATTATGTGTGTCGGCGCCTAACCCGTTCTCATGATTTTCATCAAAGTGGTAAAAGTCTGAGACCTGCATCACTTCAGACTTTCCTCCCACATTAAGCTGACACATCGTGATTGACTTGAATACTGTTCAAAGCAGCTTTAAACTCAACTCAGTCCCTTCAAGATGTATAAAAATATGTGCAACCTAAAAGCTGACACCATGATATAACTGGAATACTGTTAAAAATGGTAAAAAACCTGTTAATCCCATGTCACTCACACACTCACACACTCACTCACGCTAGAGTTCTGACATGAAGTGTACAAGTATGATGTAAAAGAGGTCAACTTTAAGAGAAAATTTAGCCATGACATCATTTTACCGTATTTTTGTATCTTTACCTACTACTAAGAAATCAGCTTGGGTCTAAACCTTCCGTATGTTCAATGTACTAAAGGGGCGACCGGGTAGCCTAGTGGTTAAAGCATTCGATCATCATGCTGAAGACCTGGGTTTGATTCCCGACATGGGTGCGATGTGTGAAGCCCATTTCTGATTTCCCCCGCGGTGATATTGCTGGAATATTGCTAAAAGCGGCGTAAAACCATACTCACCACACTCCCTTGATTCCCAACATGGGTGCGATGTGTGAAGCCCATTTCTGATTTCCCCCGCCGTGATATTGCTGGAACATTGCTAAAAGCGGCATAAAACCATACTCACTCACTCACTCACTCACTCAAATATACCAAAAAGCATCTCCTTGAATACCTCTAAGATCATCCTTTTTGACACATTTAATGTTACATTTAGTGTGGTGGGAAGTGCCCAAAATATATTGTTAAAATGAACAAAATTTTGTTCTCATTCATAACATCACTGAAAACTTACTTAATTTCTTCAAGTTAACGCAATTCTTAAATTATGGGCCAAACAGACCCGTAACCTAAACCTTGTCCTAGGGTAAGTTTCCTGAAGCAAACATTGAAGTTAGGAAAACCTGGTACAGTCATGATTGACAAGAGGTGTAATTGCCATTGAGAACTTGGCACTGAGACAGTTTCTGTCAGACACAACCCACTGTTGTCAAGGGAGGGCAATGACACAGCACACAAGTTACTGCTAACGCCATCATAAGATCATATTCTTTGCGAGAGTTATGTCAGAATGGAAAAATTCCAAAAGTACCGCTGTGATCGATTGATGAAGGACAGATATGTGTTTCGCAGGTTATCGGGGGTATCCAAATCTTCCAGGAGGAAGTGTCTGGTCAGTCTTTAAGATTATAACCTTCTTACTTACTTCATTCCAACATCCTCCAACCCTACTTTGCGTTTGTATGGAAAACGGGAACATATTATTTCAAATGAATTGTGCATCCACAAATTTGTTTCATTTGTACTTTGCAGTTTTGATGGAAGTGTTCTTAGATATTCTTATTCAACACATTTTTTCATTGGATACTTTTTTTCGGACATGTGTTTTTCAATACATTTCTTTCTGATTGTATATTTTTCATGTTTCAAAACAATGCAAAAGTCATAGTATATATATATGTTTCAAGATACACTGAACTGATTACTTAAGATACATATATGTCAATAACATCATAGAATATGTCTTTGTACACCTGTCAATGGTTGAGTTGTATATTTATTAACGAAAAATATTAACTTAGCCATTAAGGACCATCTCCGTGGTCAAATGGAAAGTGTGTCAGCCCAATGAGCGAAAGTCGGTGGTTCAATCCTGGCCATGTCAAACCGAAAGACAAGGTGGTACTTGTTGTTGTTAGCCTGCTGGCACATGGAATTAACATACAGATAGGTTATTACTTCATAGATTGATTTACCACATGATAATAAACAGACTTAAATAAACAAAATTACTTAATAAAAGGAATACCGTATTCGACGTAATAAGCGCCCCGCTCTAATAAGAGCCCACAGTGATATTTGCTAATACATTGGCCAGTGAACAATCCCAATTAGCACCTCTTCCAAATGATCAATGTACACAAGACTTATTTATTCGTGTATAATACGCACTCGTGTGTTATATGCACCCTTAATTATGGGCAATTAAATTCTGGAAAAATATATCTGTCGTGTCTAATACGCACAGACTTTTCTTTTGTATCATTTCAGGCTGTCAGCATAAACCACAAAATTTACGATCTTTTAACTATTTCTTTCACCAAAATTTTATTCTAATAAGAGCCCCCTATTTCTAATTTTGAGAGCGCCCTGGGCGCTTATTATGTCAAATACGGTAGTTCTTCAAATGAACTTAGTAAATGGCAATAATACATTAATATCAGGTGAAGTACATAAACCTTTAAGTGAATAATACTGCTTATTTGACAATTTAGGTAATTACAGTTTATGCTCATCTTCATAATGTTTACAGACCTATACAACATGAATTTCATCTTCAATTGCGTTACAATGTTCACACAGAACATTATCATCAGTCATTTTTGATACAACCCTACGTAGATGCTGTAGACCCAAAGAATTACAGCCAATTCTAAACTTTGTTAATACACGTTTGTACTCCAGATCGTCGTCATATAGTTGGAATGTTGCAACAAACAAACAAACAAACAAACCAGACCAGTACACACATACTTGCAAGAACTTGGCTATGTAATTAAACCTTTTTCTATAGATACTTTTATTTCGAGTGCAAGTAACTGTTTGATTAGATACACCTTTTTTGATCCGATCTGATCTGATTTTAAACATGGATGCCTTGGTGGCCATCTTGAAAATGTAATTTCATGTATTATTCAGACATTTCTGCATGTTTCATTATGAAATTTGACACACATCAAGTCTGGGGTGTGCAAGAGAAGCAAAGAATATGCTTTTGGATAAGTTTACAAATAATTCCGATCAAATTGTAAACAGGGCTGACATGATTTCGTCATAATTCAGGTGAGCTTCAGAGCCTTGTTGCTATTTTTAAGTTCTGTGTGTGTGTGCAGTGAAGGTCAAGGTTGCATTTGAGGTTACCACATTACAAGATGACGCCTTGTCTTGTAAGACATTCACAGGTACTGAAGGGAAACTAGTGACTTGAACAAGGTTTCCTTCAGCCTGTGGCCTAAAGTTTGTGGGTGAGCCAATGAAGGGTCAAGGTCATGATGAAGGTCTAGAAACATCTTAAAACACTTTCGATACATTGTATTACTTTCTGGATAACTTTTGTGGTGTTGCACCATCTTGTGGGTAAAGTGATGACATTTGAGACGAACAGCCATCTGGTATATAGGTTTCTGTAGTTGCGTTCTATTTGTCTGGCTTGGTGCTCTTGGTACAGGCATTTTGCCATGGAAAAAATAACTGGGTTGCTTCTGTCTCTGCATGTTATGCATTTTTTTGGGTTCAATAAAATACTAGTTTTTAAGCAAATGGATAAAAACTTGCACGTTTGTGTATTTCCCTCAATTTCCAGCTGTGTCCAAAGAATTAAATGTGGGCCAGGCAAACCAGGCAGTTTTCCTTGTCATCAGCATATGATGCATCTTCCTGAGGCAAGGGAATTAACTGGCTGTCCGGTTTCCACCCTTGCCAAACTAGGCTGGAATTTCTGGGCTTGATCCTCCCACCACCAGTGGCTATTATGAGTTATGTCCCTTCTATGTCCTTCCTATTGACAAGCAGTTTCCACCTATCATATGACTTGCATTTGCTTCAAACAAAATGGTGGATCGCAGTCAAGACAGTCTGATCGATAATCAAAATCTGTATTGTAGAAAAACAGGTCTTACCTTGCAGAGTGCATCACGTGAGCACCTTGATAAGAAAAACATGAAAAGACTTGGAAAATATCTGTTGATGCCAAATTGACAGTACACATGTTTTGCAAATCCTGCAAGCAACCGAAAACTGCACAGCAGTTTACGAACCAGGTGTCAATTGTTTTTACGAGATTGTGATTGAACTATGCATAAACCTAGTTCTGCAAGGGTGGAAACTGAACTTTAAGAGTCAGTCAACTCCCTTGCCTCGGGAAGATGCACCTAATGAGATACGATAAACACATATATGTATATGACGTTGGAGAATAACAATACCTGAAAGATTGACTCTTTCAGTGAACCACTTTAGCTCAACACATTTTTACTTTACAGCCTGTAAGTGATGACAGTAACATTACATTTTTAATAATAAATTACGTTTCTTTCAGGAGTTTCACAAACGTATGAAACAGTATGGAGAGAATTCTCCACGCTTCAGAAAAAGACTGGTGTCAAAATGGGAGGTAAGGCATGTTTTCTCCAGCTGTTGTGTATTAGTTAAAGATGTTGGTGTTCATTTTAAGCAGTGAGGGATGTGAAAAACATATTTTGAGTGTACCGGGGTAAGTCCATTAAATGCAGGCCCCGCCATTTCTCAAGTCATTGTAGCTATGTAATGTGAGGATACAAGGGTGTGAGTTTCCAATGAAATTAAAAAGATGTAAAAATTCTACTGATGAGTTTACAGTATTGTAGTTTTAATAGGGACATTATTAGTCAGAAGGGGTTGGGTGAAGTTGGCTAGGACTTTTGATGTTAAAAACACATTTTTCTCAGTCACTGGCGGTGTGGTCAAGCGGTCTGTTTGAGCACCAGGTGCTGAGATCATATCCCGCTAGTGACCAGGTTGTCATTCAGCCTATGGACCAACAATGTTTACAGGTCTTTACAGTGTTGTCACTACCCCTAGTGTACAGTACACACACCCTGTGCACTTAAAAGAACCCACTCGTCCGAGGGTAGTTGACCAGGTGTTGGAAACATGAATACGTTCACGCTAAGGAAACACAAGTTTCAAATCGTGTGGTGTCAGCCTGGGCAAGTGACTTAGTTCCAATGTGCCTCTGTTCACCCAGCAGGGAATGGGTACCTGCTATCTGAGGTGGGTGTAAATACCCTCCAGCACCTGTAGGCAGCTTTGGTTGTATACTCCCCAGGGAGTTGAGAATGATAACTGGAATGCTATAGGATCCACTGGCGTGGAAACAAATAACCTCTTTCTCAGAAAGGAAGTAGAACAATAATATTTTTCTAGTCCTTCCAGTAAATCCAGCAAACATTTGTTTTCAGTGAAGTATTTCTCCAGAGTATCGATCAATGGTGGCTTCTTATAGCTACTGTGACAGATGAAAGATGTCATCTGACAGTGTTTCATAGTGCTTGGCTGAAAATTCTTATTGTTTCTATCTCTTGGTGAAAGATTTTTGCAGTTTGAATTCTTTCAAATAATTTTTGTCTCTTCAGAGTCTTAACTATGATCCAATTGAGAGTGACCTTGCCCTTGAAGAAGATGAGAAGAACAAGTCCAAGGTCAGCCCACATTATTTTTTGTGCAATTTGTAAACAACATCACTCTTAATTAATGAAGTGTTGCAGCAACAGGATTTTATCTAGGATTTTTGAACTAAGTGTCTGTTGTAAGCAAATTGCAAAATATGCATAAGTTTGTGCAAAACTCGGTAGTTTGAAAAGAGATTTTTTCAGAGATTTTTTTAACATTCCATTCAATACATTAGTAAAAGTAACACTTAAAGCCATATTCTCTTTCTCGGTCATGAGTCATTGAACCACAAGTCATCTTCACAAACCTGTATCATTAGGAAAAACTGAATTGAGAATTTTTAGTTCAAAGGACAATATGATAAGGGCCCATTTTGGCCCACAGGGTCTTCATAATTTATGGAACAAACCCCTCAGTAATTGTTATGGCAGTTACCAGGTATGTTAAAATGAATGAGAATTTGTTCATTTCAACACATGCATGTTTTGGACTTGCAAAAGGAAATGTAAACTTAAGGCTAAAAAATGTGTTGAAAAAATGATTTTAAAGGTCTATGAAGCATGTGTTTGGAATATAAATATGAGCAAGCCTTTGACTCAAACTGACTTTTTCTTTTGGGATGTTGATAAAAACACTACAAAAATTCATGTTGGGTCACGGAATTGTTCATTGTTAGATTTTGTCTTGAAGCTGAAAAAATCATCCTTTTTCGCTCATTTAGACTTTCTTGTGTACTTAACTGAACTGAAGTCATAACTTGGAAGTGTAAGAAAGAAGCATGGCTCGTTGTCAATTATTTGAACAAATCTGATAATTTTCATACCATTATTACTATTTTATGCAGCTTAAGAATTTCACGTTTTCAGTGGGTTTTTGTCCCACCCTACCTATGGTCATTTATACAGGCGTTTGATGTGGACTAGCGGTTGAAGATCAGCAATTCAGCATCTAAGAATTCCCTGATAAATACCAGGTCTCCGTTCCACAAAGTGATCTCAGTGCTACCATTGTCGCAAGCCTATGTTAAAGTATGGGAGTTAACATCGTCGTAGGGCTAAGATTGATTTGTGGAATGGGACCATTAACATTTCCTAAAGCATTTCCTGTAATATGTTCAAGAGATCCTTCTTGTAATGATGACCCTGATTGTTTTCAGAAAGCCCTGACAATCAAGGCTGTGTCTCGCTGGGTCATTATGTTCTTTGTCGGGATCGGAACAGCGCTCTTAGCAGCAGGAGTTCAAATCATTGTGGAAATCATAGCTCACCATAAATTTGAGTTAATCAAAAGTCGTATCCTTTCCAACATAGTAAGCATTCAACTGTCCTTCACCTTTACTGTACAGACCGCCTCCGTGGTCTAGTGTTAGAGCGTCCGCCTGGAGAGCGGAAGGTCCGGGGTTCGATCCCCGACCACGTCATACCAAAAAACGTTAAAAGATGGTACTTGTTGTTACCCTGTCTGGCGCTCAGCATTAAGGGGCTAAAACAATGACTGGTCGGCTCGGAGTCAGTATACTGTGTCTGAGTGGGGTATTCATGTTAAACTGCGGCATGGTATCTCAGTGAGCTAGCACTATAAATCGGCATTAGTCCGGACTAGTACAAGCAGCCACACAAACACACACACGTCGCTATATAAGTGCAATAATCTTGGACGCGACGTTAAACCCTATTTCACCTCACCTCACACCTTTACTCTTATGACATACCCGTTGAATGCTTGACACTGTAAAGATTCTGGTAAACAATGGTTTTCAACTGGTACCCAGCAATCTATGGTTGTAAGAGGCAACCAAATGTATCTGTGGTCAGAATTGGTGCCTTGGTTGATTGGTCATCATACCCTGACAAAGTAGATTGTTGCTCATGATATCAATCACTGGTTTGTTTTGTCCATACTTAATTGTTTACGCTGATGTGATATTGCAGGAATATTGCTGACTGTCGCATTAAACAAACAAACAAGCAAACAAACACTGATTGCTTGAAATCGCCTGATATTTGGTCGTGTCTACTGTGGATCAGGGGGCGGTCGGGTAGCCTAGTGGTTAAAGTGTTAGCTTGTAATGCCGAAGACCCGGTTTGATTCCCGACATGGGTATAATGTGTGAAGCCCATTTATGGTGTCCCCTGCTGTGATATTGCTGTAATATTGCTAAAAGCGGCGTAAAACCATACTCACTCCCTACTGTGGTTCATTGTATCATCTTTCACAAAATGCACCTGATTATATACTCAACAGCAAAAGTACAATTGTACTTCTGTGTATGGAATTATATAACATAGAAAGAACAATGTCTGAGGGGACGGTCCCTCACTTGGTTGCTTGTTGCGTTTCTTCTTTCTTCTCTGGTTCAAATCCAAAACTTCATAATATAATCCATGTCACAGTTACTTTTACCTTTGAGTATATTTCATTTATGAGGGACCCAGGGTGTTCAAGGGGAGCACTTGTTACAATTTTCATTTCTGGTTTTTAGATTTCTCACAAAACAATTTAGTGCATGTCTCAATATAGATGATCAAATATATAAGTGTTGTTAGTGAGAATGCAGACAAATTCATCAAGGTGAGCTTCAGAACCTGCTAATGTCCATTCTCCCTTTCGACTTTAAATGAAGGAAAATAATATTGTGATATTTTCGTGGGTAAGACTGCTGCACATATTCGCCCCTCTCAAAATTATATATAAAAGGATTGGGCCGCAAATGCATACACATTTAACTTTTTGAGGGCCAGATACGGGCAGAAGTCTTTCCTATTTGTGAATATAAACATAAGTTTCTTTATGTGTTATGACTTGAAATGGGTCACTTTGTTTTAGTTTAGTTTATTTCACTGGGTCATCACTGATTTTTCACTGATCCATTCATATAAGTTTCACTGCTGTTTTGCCTTTCACACCCAGTGGAATCTGTTTCAGTGATCAATTGAGACAGGTTATTCTCTGTCATTGACTTTTATATTTACAAAGTTCAGTTACAAAATTGAGTACAGTTATTGATCATTATACCAGTTATCGAAAAACGTGAAAAAAATGTCATAAGAAAAATAATAAATGGTCAAATTGGGCGAGAAATGTGCAAAAATTGAGCAAAACATTCTGTTTTTGACAGATTTTCTCCTATGTACATATTTTTCAGAAACTTGTATGTAGTATTTTCTAAAAGCTTATTCATCAAAGAGTTGCAAAATATAAGAAATGAATAAGGAGACCCTGACTAGTGCAAAATGTTGTTTGTATATATATATAGCCTCTAGCCCAAGAGATTGACAACAACACCAATTGCTGAACTTGGAGAGTTTTCTGTTGCTGGTCCAGTTCATGCCGTATGTGTCACAGATGAAGGCAAATAATGGCTTCTCTTGTCAGAAGTAACTCACACTGCAAGTAATTCTGGATAGTTTTGTAACAGGTTCCAGTGGTAGAGGCCATGTCACCGACACTTCTTGTCTTTATAGTGTAAGCATCTCCACACTGATATGACTTTTATTATGATTGGCCAGCCTGCAGTTTCTAGCAGACACGGAAAGGGTTTAGTGGTATTCTATCAAGTGATTTGCCACCAGCAGAAGTATGCTGGAATGTTGAATTGGATGCCAGATGCTCATAGATGCAATGTACTGGTTGGAAGCGTGGTTTATCGCTGCGTGTAGATGTATGATCACGATGAGATTCTTTCTTTCTCTTGATGATCTGGCCTTCCTCGTGGCCTACATGAGAACATTGAAGTTACTGATTTACGATTTATATCAATCATTTATAGGGTTTGCAGGGTTTACTCCAGTGCAAATATTATGTCCTGTTCTCATAAACTATGAGAATTGGTGCAAATAATTTACATTGCAAGTAATGGCCCAAAAAAGTATGGCTGTTTGAATCATTAAGTTTATCAAATTTTTAGATTGCGTGTTACACATAACTGACATTTATATTCTGGTGAGAAATACACACAGGATGACAGTTATTGATTTTTTTCAATCTAGCATTGAAATCCCAATCTACTTCAGGGACTTGTTCCACTAAGTGATCTAAGTGCTAAGACGATTGTAACTCACATACTTTGACATTGACTTACGATGGTTGTAGGGCTGAGTCGATCGTAACTACCATACTTTAACATAGACATACAGAAGTCGTAATGCTGAGACGATTGTGACTCACAAACTTTGACTTACAACAGTCGTAGCACAAAGACCATCATATGTCCCATACTTTAATTTAGACTTACGAAAGTCACAGCACTAAGATCGCTTTGTGAAACGGGGCGCTGAGCATGTACGATGAAGTGATCATGTAAAATTGTTGGAAATCAAGAGCAGTGTGCCGCATACCTCCACTACCCTGCGTCCCCATGTTCATGTCTTGGACACTCACAATTTACTTCAGGTAATCATCTGGTTGGAATATATATTTATACGTTTCTTCGGAAATCCTGCCACATCAAACCTCAGTTGCATTTATGTCAAAGGTCATTTATGTCAAGATTTTTTACATTATCCTGTGACGGTCTCACCCCACATGGACATGGGGAATTCTTTTGGCATGCAAAAGGTCAACGTCACAAAATACAATATTTTGCTCGCTCAATATTTTGTAACTTTCTCAAAAAGTGTTAATGCATGTATCATTAAACATCTCCAGGATGGGGCCAGGTGCTTTTGAAACATTTTAGGTCAAAGTTCAAGGTCAGCATTCAGGTTTTTGTGAATTATGTTTCTAGGTTTGTCAGCACCATACCCGCGCTCGTGGGCTTCACCGAAGTGGTAAACGTCTGAGACCTGCAACACTTCGGGCTTTCCTCCCACATTAAGCTTACACGTTGTGATTTAACTGGATTTACGTTGTGATTTAATGTAGAAAGTGGTGTTAAACCCAACTCACTCACTCACTTCTCAGCTAATGTTGGTGCCATGTCTCTATCAAAGATCATGGTCATCTTTAAGGTTATTGTGAAATATGATGGTATAATGTATTTCCATTTACTGTTGCACTTTTACTGTTTCAGTCCTGAGAGTTGGGTAATTTTTGGATCTAATAAAGTCTTGATTAAGTAATGATCTTGATTAAGTAATGTTTTGGACTGAAGCACTTAGTCTTATGGGTGCATATATATGTTTTCTGCCTCATAGCATTTAATCACCTTGTGAAGGAGTATAAGTATATATACTCTGAAACTTTGTGTGCCTCATGATAAAGAAGTTGACATGCATAACTTCCCTTCCTTAGTTCATAGTGGTACATTAATACTTTAAGCTTTGAGGAAATGGTGGAGACAGAGCAGCTTCTTTTAATACAAATATCTCAAGGTTTTAATGATTTCATGATAGATATTTGACTATTGATAATTTTCTTTGTGATATATGTCTCAGCACATTTGAGAGAAGTGCATGCTGCTTTGTCATCACATTTCATTCCTGGTGTGTACGGGGGCACGGGTGGCCCAGTCGTCTAAGGCGCTGCGATTTGCTGTGCAGAGTTGCATCCCTTGGGCATGCCAGAAACCTATGATTGTGGGTTCGAATCCCGGTTCGCACCGAATATGTTTCTAGGTTTGTCAGCACCATACCCGTGCTCGTGGGTTTCACCGAAGTGGTAAACATCTGAGACCTGCATCACTTCGGGCTTTCCTCCCACATTAAGCTGACACGCCGCGATAAAACTGGAATACTGTTAAAAGCGGCGTTATACCCAACTCACTCACTCACTCCTGGTGTATACTACTTATGGCATGACACATTAACTATAGTAATATGAAAGAATCGGGTGATCTTTAACTATTTTTTTACTAGTATAGATATAGGTGTTTTGTATTAAAAAATCATAACATTTCAATATTCAAATACGAAGTTTGAACTCCTTTGGTTTATTTAAAAAATTCTTTATCCCTAAATAACCCATCCACTTGACTTACAAAACATCAGTTGCTGATGTAGATTCTGGTGTTCTTGTAATTGAGTTATGTATTGCTAATAACAGCATCTCTGGAGTTTTTCAACACCATTAGGCCCTATTGGTGTTGGTGCCAAAATAGTTACTGTTGATAAACATTGGTTTCGTATTACAATATGTAATGTAAACACGCAAATAAACAGGAATCCATGTTTATTTGGGTATGGCAAATGCCATGTATGAACAGTGTCTGAAATTATGTGCATGGTGAGTGGAGGTGAGGTGAGGTGAAATTGGGTTTTAACGTTGCGTCCAAGATTATTGCACTTATATAGCGACGTGCATGCACGTGTGTGTGCCACTGCTTGTACTAGCACACTGAGACACCATGCCACAG